TGCTGTTTTGGGATCAATGCTGAGATTATGACACAAAATTATAACTTAATTTGCCAAGGAATGTCAGAAGAACTGATCAAACTATAATCTTAATTAAAGTAACATAGTAGGAACAGCTCATTTTGAAGTAAGAAGATGAAATATTCTGGATTATGAAGATACAGCCTAAATATTACAGTAATAGTATTTACATAAATAATCAGTTAAGATACCTATGAGCTGAAAAGCATCTTTAACATGGTATAGAGTTGTGCTCTCTAGACAAGGACAAAGCAGAGAAGAAAAGCGGTGGAAAGAACTTAAACACTTAAAAAATTCTTATTTTGTCTGTGGGGTCAAATTTGTAGTGAAAAAAGCCTACAAAATAATAGAAATAGACAACTCTAAATTGAAAAAAATACTACATATTACCATGTTCTTAAGAATTCCCAATGAAAGATTATTATGCAAAAATATTTTAAATTAATGAAAAATAACTTGCAGTCAGGATAAAATTTAAAATCCCATAATGGCTATGATTTGTATTCTATCATTATGGCAAACATGAAACATTCAATACTTACCATATTTTCTGGGCATTTTTCACAAGTAACAGAGAACCCACCACTACTAGAAACCATCCTGTATCCTGGCTCACATTCACAGGAACTACCTGAAGAAAAAAAACAAATGCACTTTTAATCTATATAGAACTGACAGGTTGTAACAGAATACTAAGAACAACTACTGTTGTAGATGGATTATTAGATAGAGACATAAAACACTTGAGTGAGATGGAATGAAAATCATCCTGCTTTTTAAAAAATGCCGGTTACAGTTCGCACATAGATGTTTTAGGAGAATGTTACAAGGCCTCTGATCTACCAGGGTGGAACAGGGACCCAGAGCTTGTATTTTGTGGTTTTTTTTAATTAAACGAAATGTTACTAGTTGGTCTGTAATAGATATAATCTCTCCATCTAAATCTTGCCACAACCTTTCCCTCTACAACACCAGCATTACGTGTTTGTATGCAGGTTTTATTTTTTCAATTTGAAGTCAGCCCTAAAACCAAAATGTGTTCCTGTGAAAAGGTTTTTCAAAATACAACTGTTGTATGAAAAGCTGTTTTAAACCCAAGACTTTTAAAATTGTGCATGGGGATCAAGGTTTATGTTGAGTGGTTTCCAGTGAGTGAACACAACATACTTAACATTTTGTATGAAATTAAACATTATTTTCATGGAACAGTATAATGCCCATCTACTAGTGCTAAACAGCTTTTCATTTAGAAACTTTTCCTGTCTCAGTGTAATGAATTTCTCTCTGTATTTTTAAACACATACCAGAAAACAAAATTGATTATATGTACTAATAAACTTTTTTTTATTGTTGAAGCTTACTGAACTGTGCAGGCAAAAATAATGTCAAATTCTGTGGAAAGTTTATCACTTTAAAGTACATTCTAATGAGACCAGCTGTACAGAAACATTTGTCAAAGTGATCAAACATTTCTACTTAATTCTAAAGAAGAAAAAGCCCAATTGGATTAGATAAATGAAAAGTTTAAGTTGTGACACTCACAGTGACAATACCTAGATTTTTAGGCATGTGACCTAAAAGCAGAATCCAGATTGATGAGCTAGCCAAGACTGCCCAATTCCACTTGGGCTAGCAAGTGGAACTGGGCAATTGCAAGTGGAATTCAGTAAAGATGCAAACAGCACTGAGCAGCACCTACCTACACTGCTTCAGTCAGATCTGCAGGTAAAAATTAACCCTTGACACCTCCTTGGAATTTTCCTCTCCTTGAAGCCCTTTATTTAGAGGAAGATTCAGCCTAAAAAGTAGTTACGGATCTAGGCACCTTCGTTATCAGGAGATCTGAAAATAGTGTATTTTCTTCCAGTAAGTGAACTATGGGATTCATGGTGGTGGTGGAGAAAGTGAGCAGTTTTCAGGCAGCAGCTGTGAACACAGCCCTGCCCGTCACTGCTTCCACCCAAACTACCAGCTCTGGACAGAGATGTTGTTGGGTCTTAGTCTCAAATTTGTACACACAACAGGGAACTCCTACTCTTGTTGGACTGTGTATTTTATGAAAGATTAACCCCTTAATACCTCTTTATGGCCAAAAGAAAGCAGCCAACTACCTGTATTTTCCATTTAGTACTGTCAGGCTGTGCTGTATGTGCTCCAAGTTCCCGTGTGGGACTTGGACTAGAACAGGCACAGCCTGAGTATCTCAGACACTTGGTATCTCGGATATTCAAGTCTGACAAGGAGTTTCAAGGTACATAAGTGTTCGAGAACATAAATTCAGGGTCCTGTAGAATTTCACAGATGAAAATGCAAATACAATATAACGCTTGAGGAAAAAGAAGATTATTAGAAAAAGGTTGAAAGTAATTTCTCTGAGCTGTATCTCGGACACATCGCGGCTGTGCTGGGGCCTCTCAGGTCTCCGCTGGATCCTGGCCCTTTCGCGGCTTTCCCAGAGCTGTTCCAGCGCCAGGGCCGGAGCCCGGCTGAGCACCTCCCGCCGCTGGCGATGGATTCAGCCGGAGCTACCCGAGCCCCGCCTCCCCCACCGCTCACCGCCGGCGCTCTGCCGCTGGTGGGCCCCGCAGGGCGCGCAGGCCAGGCGGGAGCTGTCGAAGTAGCGGTCGGGGCCGCAGTCGGCGGGGCGCTGGAGCGGGACGGAGAAGCCGCGGGCGGGGCGCAGCGCCGCGGACAGCGCCATCAGCAGCGCGGCGGCGGCGGCCCCGCGGCCCCGCGTCGCCATGGCCACCGCGCGTGCCGCCCGCGCGCGCCCATTGGCCAGAGCCGCGCCGTACGGCGAGCGCCGGGGGCCCGCCGCCGCAACAAGCGAAGGCGCCCGCGGGGCGGGGCGAAGGAGGGTGCGGCCGCCTGAGTTGAAGTGTTTGGCCCGCGGAGAGTTTTGTGCGTCTTGTGCGGGACCAGGAGCCAGAAACGAGAGGACATCCCGGCCCGGTTTGCAGTTTCCGGTACCTCGTTTCCAGAACTGATGCACAGTGTATCATCCAAATGGAACAGGTGTTTGTAATTTCTCCCCAGAGAGGGTAACAAGGTGAAAACACAAAATGCCGAGAGCAGTGGATGCTCAGCCAGTGTTACTCCCCTTTACCTCTTACACCTTTGTGACACTCTTGTTCACATCCCACAGAAGCACAGGATGAGTCCAGTTGGAAAGGACCACAGTGGGTCACTTGGTTCAACCTCCCTGCCCAAGCAGGATCATCCCAGAGCACATGGCACAGCACTGTGACCAGAGAGTGCTTGAATATCTTCAGTGAGGTGTTATAAGGTTGGGGAGTAATTCGATTCAGCCGTAATAGGTCAATTGAGAATTTATTAATTACAGCAAGCGATAGCAAGCAAAACAGTGCTGCGTGAAGCCGGGGGGGTGGGGGGGGGGGCGCGTCTCCGCTCCTCCAGCGGCTCATCCCGCACCTCCTGGTCTTTCAGTTCTTATACCCCTTCAGTTCCTGACTTCGTGACATTCCCGATGTGCTCTGCATCTGCACAGCGTGTTGCTAGGGGTCTTTTTTCTGCTGTCCGGTGGTCGTTTGACGAAAGCTCCTATTCTTCTTCCTCTAAAGTAGCGTTAACCCTGCAATAACTTCTCCAGACATGGTTACGCAGCTTGCAAAGATCTCTCAATTCCACAATCTACCGATACCAGTACATCCTGCCTTCTTGCCCCACTGTTTCCTGCGTCTTACACAATCCCTGGGGCTTTTCCTGATTAACAAAAACTATGCTATTGTCTTTCACATGAGGGAGACTCCACAGCCTCTCTAAGCAGTCTGTTCCAGTGCACCCGCACAGTGAAGTTCTTCTTGCTCAGGTGGAGCTTTCTGTGCAGGTTTCTGCCTGTTGCCTTTTGTCTCATTCCCCCAGTTGTTACCAAAACTTTGCAAGACACTATGTCCTGGATTTTAGTTATTTCTCATTGTACCTCTCCTGCGTGCTAGTTGCCTTATGATTTTCGACATTAGCATGTTTTGTTTCTCACTGGATTTATTTTCTTGGCTCAACTATTAAAAGGTTGAGTTTATGTTTTCAAATCAAATTACCTCTCCCTAGGCTCACGTTCATGTAAATTTGATTGTGTAAAGACATAACTTCTTAGTGGTGTGCTTGATTTGTGGAAACCTCCACCTTGTACCCTGCACAAGATAAACAATGTCTTTTTTCTAAACGAGACTATCCGTGTTGAAACACATCCTAAAGTCGGTAACATTGCTAGGTGAATCTACCATGAATAGCAAGAGCAGACAAGTAGTGGGTATACATAAAAAGACAAAGAACGTAAAGTCAGAGAAGGCAGGTAGGATAAACATTAGGATAAGTATACCTCGCTTGCACAACCAAAGTACTCTGCCTCTGCCCTTCCCTTTACTTAATCTTGAACCTTTCCTCCTTCTCCTCCGTTCCTCCATCCCTGCCTTCCCTTCCTCTCCCAACCCAGGCAGGAGCGAGCCCCGAGCTGCGTTACAAATCGTGTCCAGACATCCAAAGAGCCGTGAGGGGCGCCTGAGGCTCGGCACGCGCCGGCCCCGACGGGAACGAGCCTGAGCAGAGCGCTCCGTGGCGGCAGCGGCGCTCGGTCACCGTGTGCCCGATCTCTATACACGGATCTATCGCCGCGCAGGTCTATCACTGTGCCTAGCCACAATCACAGCGATCTATCATCGCACAGCTCCCTCACACCGACTTAAACGGGACTGCACACCCCGCGCCAGGGCGGAGGCCGCATGCGCATTGCCGGCGGCGCGGCTCGCGCCCGCGCGCCGATGGGTGCGCGCGGCCTGCGCACGCGCGCTGCAGCGAAGGGGGAGGAGTCGGCCCTCCCGGAGGGTGCGCGCGCAGCTCCGCGCTCGCGCAGCTCCGCTTCCCCTCAGCGTTGGGGGGGGGGCAGGGGAGGCGGCGCCATCTTGGCAGAGCCGTGTCGGGAGCTGCGGGGCTCGTCCGAGCGGCGTGTCCGGTGGGTGCGTGGATGGATGGCGTGAGGGACAAAGCACGCCTCCCCGGGGTGCGGCGTGTGGCCGAGGGCGCCGCACAGTTTGCTGGTTCTCGGTTACCCGACCCTCGCGGAACCGGTGCGCGGCTGCTCCGTGTGCCCCGGCCTTCTCGTGTCCCTGGGCTTCCCACCCCAGTTCCCCGCTCGCGTTGCTTCCCTTAGCCCTGTCCCGGTGTCGGGAACCCGGCGGGCTTCTGCGTAGGGGCGGGGCACCGGCGGCTGTGGCGGGGTGTGGCCTCCCCTCGCCCCGTGCCCCTCATCCCGTGCCCACCGCCGCTCCGGCCCTGCCGCCCGCGCGGGTCTCCCGCAGCGCTGGTGCCGCGGGGCGACTGGCTCGGAACCGGTCCCGTGCTACATTCGATCGTGTAGCAGCCCCAGCTGCAGGGCTCACTCGTGTTTTCCTTCAGCACTGTGAAAACTGCTATTCGCAGCAGACTGCTTCCTCTGTTAAGGCTTATTTGAAGTACAAAATAAGAAACCTTCCCCTGTTTCGCTGGTTATTCTATACTGGTCCAGTTTCATAGACGGGATGGTTCTGTGGGTGTTCTTTCTAGCTTGCAGTCTGTGTAATCTTTCAGTGTTATGATAAAAATCCTAGTCTAGTGCAGATTTAGTTTCCTACCGCGTTTACAAGTTGTGAAGTATTTTAATGGCTTTAATGTTTGGAATTTCCTGAGACTGTGCAAGAATAGGCATTGTATTGTTTTCTAGCCAATTTTGCTCATATATAAAATTTCATAAAACTGTACACTTCTGTGTTTTTAAGCTGTGGCATGAAGTTGTTTATTTATTCTCCAAATCTTTGCTCTCTGAAGTCCTTGTTCAGTTAATGAATTGCTCTTACTTTTCATGACAAGTTAACTCTTTTAGGTTATGCACTTTAAACTTGGACGGCTTGTCTGTGCTTTCTGTCTGTATGTGATGGTTTACTATACAGTCAGTAAGAGCTATTATTTGAACTTGCATTTGTTTATGGACTTCTTAGAGATCCCATTATGATCTGGGACCACTGTGTCTGGTTTTCACCACTGAAGGTTGTGTATTGTATCCCTGGTCCATCGTGGAGAACTTGCTGTTTATCACCGAAGAATTATGGAGGAGACTTGTTGTGAATTTTGCTTAAAAATTGGGATGTGAAAGTGGAGTTGTTAATCCAGAAGTACTACAGATTAAATACATCATGAAGTAGCAGGGCAGCGGATTTGCTTTTTCAAGACATGAAGGTGCTGTATGAAAATGCTGCTCTTGAATTCTCCATGCTTTTTTGGCACTGTCATTGCATCTGTTGAGAAGACACGTTGTAAAGTGTTCTGGGTCTGGCTGGGATGGAGTTAACGTTCTTCACAGCAGCCCATACAGTTCAGTTTGGATTTGTGGCTAAAAGAATGTTGACAACGCATCGGTGTTTTGGCTGTGGCTGAACAGCACTTGCACAGTATCAAGGCTTTATCAATTTCCCTACTCTGTTCCTGAAGTGAATGTGCTCAGAGTAGGTGAGAAGCTGGGAGGGAACATGGCTGGGACAGCCAACCCAAACTCACCAAAGGGACATTCTGTGACATGTAACGTCGTGCTGGGCAAAAAAACCCTGAGGTAGAGGAAGAAGGATTTTAATGGTTTTGGTTTCTTTGGGAGGATTTTTTCTTGGCTCCCAAAGCAGTTGTTATTTGGAGGAAGGCTGGATATCAGTCAGCCTGTGGGAGGTGGTGAGTGATTTCCTTTGTTTTGTGTTTTTCTTTCCACTGATGAAATTGTCTTTATCTTGACCCACAAGTTTTCTTGACTTTGTTCTTTCCCATCCTGCTGATGGGGATGAGTGAACAATCAGCTGTGTGGGTGCTTGGCTGATGGCTGGGGTTCACTCGCTACAAAAGTACAGAGAACAGATGGTCTTTAGTGAAGTTTCTAAATGGGCAGTTGTTTTCGGTTTGTTGTGCTTACAGAGTACTGGTGCAGAAGTGACATGGAGTTCGTTAGTGATAGAATTTGGGCTTTGCTCTTGTTTTGCTACAGTCAGGTGGAGTGACAGTAATGGTTATTGATAGGTAACTCGTCGATAGGTAGATCCTATTGATAGGATCTAGTACTTTATAGAGCAAGGTTTGCAGAAGGAGTGTTCTCAAATGCTTGGAGAATTGGGCTGTTGTGTTGTAAAGGGATGCAGTCATTTGCTACAGAGGCTTGTGTTTGTTCTGAGAATATTGTCCTATTTATTGTGTGATGTTAGAAAATGTTGAAAATCAGGATATCTTGTACTTATGTTTGAAAGGCAGTAGAGTAAGGATTTAGGGAAAATACTGAAGTTGGCTTTGTAAATTCAAGTACTTCCTGAAGTTTCTCCTTGTTGGATATTTTTGCTCTCTCATTTGATGGGCTTCACTATGTATGTGCTGGACTGGTGAGTAGCATACGCTTGTGAAGTTTGAAACCAGGTGGATTTCAGAAGAATGGATGTGTCGTGTAATCATGAGATGGACCTAAGCATCTTTCAAGAACTCAGTTGAGAACTGTTCCCTCGATACACTGTCAGACTGTTTCATTGCAACAGTTCAGTGTGGCACAACTGATGACAAAGTAATCTCATCGTATTTACATCGTTTCCAGAAGTCAACTTAAATTTTGAGTTTCTTTTTCTTCTATAATGGAAACAGAAAGATGTGGTGCATGGCATCTTGGAACATGGAAGGAGTTCTTCACATGGGTTCATAATATGCTTGGCTTTAGTATTAGCCACTGCTATGGATGGGCTGCAGCAGTGTAGCACAGTGTGTAAAGCAAAGTACAGGTATCAGCCATTAATTATGTTTCATTTTCTTTCCACAGTTAATTTGATTTTACAGAATTTATCAGGTCTCCAAAGCAGAAACAGGTAAGCTGTCAAAAGCTTAACACGTCTCACTGAGTATTGTGACAAGATCATACACAGCCTTTTTTCCTCACAGACTAGTGGCTGGCAACTAGGATATGCTCGTGGCCACTGCAGTTAATACTCTGACTACGCCAAAGAGACAACATTTTTGAATGCTGAGAAAACATACATTATTGAACAGAACTGATCACTGGGTAGAGCAACTTGTCAAAGCAGTAAAGTCATCACTGTTTGTGAGTTACTTTATTTTCCAGTGACATAGTTAATCTTTTTCCTTTCTCCTTTTATCAGTTAGTGTCCTGTTCAAAAGTAAACCGGATTTTTTTTGTTCCTTAGGAGTGGGCAGAGATCTCTGGCACATAGAACTATGCTGTGAAAGACTTGAGGTGTTCTTTTGGTATTGTGGATGGTGAGGAGTGACTTAGGTGGATTTTGTTGCCATTAGGGTAGGGAATATTGATAGATTTGTGCACGAGTGTTGGTGGAGTAGCTAATTGTTCTGACTAATCAACATTCAGTGAATTGTTTTAATCTCGTTCTCGTGAATTTGTGGGTTTTTTGATACCTTCTCTCTTGATGAGACAAAGGCATTCATTAAAAAGGCTCTAGCTTCTTAAGTGATAAGATACTGTAATAGCTGAGTACTAAAGACGTGCTATCATGTGTACCTTTTTGTCTGCAGGTGATTTTTGCTGTGGGTTGAGCTCAGCATGGCTGTAGTCATCCGTTTACAGGGGCTTCCTGTTGTTGCGGGTCCTCCAGATATTCGTCGTTTCTTCTTGGGATTGAATATTCCTGATGGAGGTGTGCATATTATTGGAGGAGAGATTGGGGAGGCTTTTATTATATTTGCAACAGATGAAGATGCACGGCGTGCCATGAGCTGTTCGGGAGGGTTTATCAAGGACTCGCGCATAGAGCTCTTTCTCAGCAGCAAGGCAGAGATGCAGAATACCATAGAAATGAGCCGCAAACGATTTGACCGTGGGGGACGAGAAACTTTGTCTGGCTCTAGAAGAACAGGTACTGATGGTTCTAGTACATCACGTGTTGGAGATATACCACATTTTGTTACAGCTTCTCCAAAAGGAATAAGAAAACCTAGTTATGGGCCACCAAATCGCGTGGAGGCTGGTTTCCATACCAACGGCACAAGATATGGTGATATGGGTATACCCAAGTCAAACTATCAGCTAAGAAAGGATTCTCACCCATTTACCCCAGATGATCGTTACTTATTTCTACGTGGTATACCTTATTCTGCAACAGAAGTTGAAGTACGGGCTTTCCTTTCGGGGATACGTGTGGATGGAGTGATTCTGATAAAACACCGCAATGGATTAAACAATGGTGATTGCTTGATAAAATGTGCTACACCTAGCGATGCCTTAGAAGGACTTAAACGTCATAGACAATACATGGGTCAGAGGTTTATAGAAATTAGTCCAACTACAGAGGAACGGTGGATTGAATGTGGTGGGCAGATAGACATGCCAGATGAAATGGATCACTTTTTGTGTGAAGACCATTCTCCAAGAAGTTCAGGCTACGTGCATTCAAGGAAGCATTCTCATTCAAGATCACCAAGGAGACAAAGAACACATTCTCGTTCATCTCCTGGTCAGGAATATTACATACACTTAAGAAATCTATGTTTTAATGTGGAAAAGAGAGATTTGAGAGATTTTTTTCCTGAACTGGATATACACAGCAAACAGATCAAGATTCTAACAGATAAGCATCAGAAAAGGACTAGAGATGCCTTTGTGATGTTAAGGAATGAGAGGGAATATCAGGCTGCTTTGGAATGTCATAGAAAGGTTCTTATCAATCGTCCTGTGTACATTTTTCCAATTTCAAGAAAGTCAATGTTGAAAATAATTGACTCTTGTGAGAGGAAAAGATCACTGGACAGAGATCATCTTGGACAGGCCATATCAGAAAAAAGTTATCGGGAAGGTCATTCCAGCCCTAGGAATTGTGTTTATGTAAGAAATTTTCCATTTGATGTGTCAAAAATTGAAGTGCGAAAGTTCTTTGCAAGATTTGATATTGACGAAGATGATATTTACTTGCTCTATGATGAAAAAGGAGTTGGACTGGGAGAAGCTCTAGTGAAGTTTAAATCTGAAGAACAAGCCATGAAAGCAGAAAATTTAAACCGTCAAACATTTTTGGGAACAGAAGTGTTAATAAGACTTATATCTCAAGATCAGATGCAGAAATTTGGTGTTGCTGCATCATTATCTGCACCAAATGAAATGCATGGTCATCCACATCCGTATGACAGAGGTGACCTCTCGCGTCCAGTTGGTTCACAATCTGGGCCACCACAAGGGCCACCCATGCATTCTTTTGGTCCCCCTGGGAACTTCAGGCATCATTCTGAATTTAGACATCCCCCTGAGGAGTTCATGTGCCCTCCTAAGGATTTTAGGGGTCCACCACCCCTCATGGATTTTGGTGGTGACAGTGAACCTTGTGGCAGAATGGAGTTTGGGAATAATAAAATGGGAAATTTTCCTGAAGGAAGATTTATGCCAGATCCAAATTTCAGTGGTGGTTCTGAACGTGTTGTGCCTATTCTGTTGAAAAATTTACCTTTTAAAGCTACTCCTAATGAGATTCTGGATTTTTTCTATGGCTATAGAGTGATACCAGAGTCAGTTTCTGTGCAGTACAATGAACAAGGATTACCTTCCGGTGATGCCATTGTTGCTATGACAAACTATGAGGAAGCTATGGCTGCTATTAATGAACTGAATGATAGGCCCATTGGTCCACGGAAAGTTAAGTTGAGTTTGCTGTAAAGGACGAAAACGTGCTCTAATAACACATTCTAGGTTTGACAGTATTGACAGTTATTTTAATTGCTGGAAGATGCAAAACAAACAGTTTCCATCAACGGTTGTAAATAATACCCAAGGTTCAGTTGTTTAGCTCTTGGTTGAAATACCTGTAGGACATTGAATGTCATACATCAAGGTATAAAAGGATGGAGTTATAATGCTTTTTTTTTTTTTTTTTTTTTTTTGGTTTTTTTTTAATTAATTCCAGTCTTACGTCTTTGCATCAAATAAAAACGTAAGTGCTGGTTGACTGACTACACAAACGGTTCAGATAGAAGATTTGCAGTGCTACCTGCATTAGCAAATGACACTTCTTACTGACGTTAGCTTAATAAAGTTTTTAAATGTCTGGGTTTTTTTTTTGTTTCTTTTTGTGTAAACTTTTCAGGTTTTATTTGGTTTCATATGTTTGCAGGCATTCCTGTTTAAGAGCTTGCTGTTCTCATTAGCTAGCTTTGCAACTTTTTTAAAATAAAAATGAAATTGCCATTTAAATGTGTGTCTTATATTTAAAATTTATATAGTTCATGATCTCAATTATTATGCTCAGCAGATCTGGGTCTTGGTGAGAATGATGCTGCTTGCTTTGTCTGGAAAGAGTGAACTGGTAGTTTGTCAACACAGCAAAGGATGGGTAGTTGACAGAGATTGCAGAGGCTGTGTTAATCAGTTTTCTCTCATTCACTGTAGTACCTTGAGGCAGAAAATGAAAGTTGGAATTCAATCAAGAATTCTGACTTCAGTGGTTTGGTTTTATCTTCACATGCTGCGTAATATGAATACTTACTGGCTAATGATGTCTGGATGCATTCCAGGTCAATCTGTGATTAGTTTTAAGTAACATCTGTCATGGGCAACCAAGCTGACAACCGTTATTTTCTTACGTAATAAAAGAAATGCCTATGTTAGCATTTAGAATGTGTTGTTTTCATTGGTTTGTTACCAGCATATTTAAATTTTAGGAAGAAAGAAAAGCTTGGAAAAGCTGTATCTTCAAAATTAAGGCTTAGTAGGAAACTTTGTGTGGGCAAGGACTTTCATTGACTTTACAACTGTGCCAGATAGTATCTGTAGTACTAAAGGGTAAGTCTCAGTCCCCTCAAACTGACACAACAAAGTTGCAACTTGGCAGTGAAAACTTCTAACCTTTGCTTGCTCAATAACCAGAATTTCTAAATTCATGAAGTAGGGAGGTCTCTGTTTCAGTTCCCTCCTCAGAAGAAGTTTTGGCTCGAATGGGCTATTCAAGGCCTTGTCTATTGCATCTTGAATAGCTTTAAGGACAGAGATGTCCGGGCAGCCTTTCTAGTGAATGATCCCCCCTCACTGGTGGTCACACCTTTATTACTTTATGTGAAGTCATCATTGTCATTGCAGAACTTCCATGCCAGCTGTTTGGTACAAGAAAACAAAAAGAATAGAACTTTTTGTTCTGTAATATTTAAAAGGTTAGTGTAGGTTTATTTCTTCTGCATATTATTTATTCTGTGTTTTAGGTGCCAAGAAAAAAGCTTTTTGAATGATAATGCAAGGTCTGTATATGTAGATTCCTCTAAGCAAAGAAACATAATGGCCAAGTTTTCAAATTCTGAACACATACTGTTTTTTGCTTTTTGGTAGGAATTAGCTTCAGAATCATAGAGTTTTGAATCCTCCTGTGAACTTAAAAGGAATTAAAACTGAACAATTTTGTCCTTTATTTAATAGCTACTTTAAAAGAGGTCGAGCCAGAAGATGCTGCAGGAAAAATAAAGACATGAGAATTCTCAAAATAAACTTCCCTGATGATCATTGTTGAAAACTTCATTGCGACTATTGTTGTAAGCTAGCATCTTTACAACTAAGCTGTGTTGAAAATGTGAATACAACTAAATTCTCCAGTTAATCAGTTTTAGATGATCTGTTGATTTTAAAGTGCTTCTTGTTACTACACAGTAGGAGATTTCAAACCTGGAGGCTGGAAAGGTAAAAGTTTAGTAGGCTGCTCTGCCAGTAAAATGTGAGATTTAGAAAAAATCTTTTAGAAAAAAAAAATCTGTTTTCAGAAAAGGTTAACAGTAATTGCTGACAAGATACCATTAGTTTTTCAGATGGTAAACTTTCCCTCCACCCACTGAACACATAAAAAGTATCATAAAGCTTGTAATGGCAGAGGTCATAATTAAGGCATTACAAAATGGTCTTTTATTTGCTCTGTAGCTGATTTGTATTTAATTTAAGCCAGATTAGAGTTTATGACTGCCATAGGGGTAATCTGAAATGTCTGATTGATAGACTGAAATTTTTTTTTTGACTCTCTATAAAGAGCTGTATCTCAGAGTATGTACAGACGCACTGAAGCATAGGGAACTTGAGAAGGGATGCCAGTACATCGGTTAAATAGTAAGGTTAATAGGACAGCTGGTTCGTAGCTGTTATCTAGTTGGTCTTTTGGGTCTGTGCATGTCCGTCTGCCTCTGTTCCCCCTGCCTCTCCAGTCTGGGCATTATATTCTGATTCTGCCTGAAGAGATGGTACAGGTGCATGGTGTGATGACAGCATTTCCTAACAGGGTAACATAACAGGATAACAGGGTTTTATAACATCAGATGCTTAGTGGTTTGGAGGCACTGTATTTCCAGTACAAAGGACAAATCAGAGACTGCCTATAATTGCACGGCTTGAAATCCTGTACTTCCTTTTTAAGTATAATCCATATAGTAAGGAGTAACAAATGAAATGCTACAGTTTGTGTGCTGCTGATACAGAACATGGGAAGTTTCCTTAGTTATACCTTCTCTAAAGTTGATTTTGCTACCATTGTCCAAAAATTCTGATGTAAAAAAACCAATTTCTGTTGTCAAGCACTAGAAATAGTGATCACCTACGAAAGCAGCTTGAAGCATTTAGGGAAGGTCTAACAGGACAGTCTGATCAGAACTCTTAATCCCAAAGGAATGTGCCCGTGTGTTCAACAGAGAGGCAAAATAATCTAGGCAAGAATGGATACAAGTCTGCATCATCTAGGTGCCAGTAATAAAAGACACAAATGAGTGAATGGAGTAACTGCAAGTCAGTCTTACAGTAAGCACTTGTACCATGAGAAAATTCTTTGCAGAAGGATCTTTAGGTAGTATTTAATTCTTTATTAACATCCTAAATTGTTATTCTGGCTGTGAAGTATTTTAGTCAAGAACTTTTAATCTGTAGTTCTGAGTTCACAATTTCTGTGCAACGTGCAAAGTTAAGACATATGCATGCAGGACAAAGTTGCCTAATTGTACTTTTCTGGAAGTTTTTCTGTGATTCCTGAAGTTGACTTTTTTTGTGATGTAGGGAGAATGAATTTTATGCTTGTGAACCGCATAATCTTTTAGAGGGCAATTTACCTAAACAAAACTCCTTTTTTTCAGAATTGCTTTCTTAAGGCATAGTACACAAATATTTGCTATTTGTATCTATGTATATTATATGAAAACCTGAAATTGTTTTGAAGTCAGCCATCTGTTTTGAAGTTAGCCATCTGTTTTGGAGATGGACTACTTCATTGTGTGTGTGAAATGGTAAAGTGGTGATCACCAGAATCCTGATGTGGTAGGACTATTTATTGAAGTGCCTTAGTTGCTGAAATAAATGGGAATTAATTATGTAGATATTTTTAAAGTATTTAAAAAGTACTTAAGTATTTACTCCTTGCCAGAAATACTTCAATGTCTGGTATGTAATGCTGGTGTAAAATTATTTTTTGGGTTTAAAACAACGCTATATTGTGAACTTTTTGCTTATTTGCATCTCATTTATTTTTGGCAAAAGCTGTTTTTTTCACATGTCAAAACAGGTATGCATGGCATACTTTGCATCAGTGGACAAAAGTAGCATCAATATTATAAATGCACTTCCTGATTTTTTTCTGTAACTGAAAGATTTTGTTACAGCTTGTTTTCCCAGTAAGAAGTTTAAATTCTTCTGCATTTGTTCTTTAGCAGATACTAAAGCTGGAGGTGAACAGTGTGGTAGCAAGCGTGGCAGACAACCATACACTGTTACAAAATGAACACATGCAACCTGTAACTCCAAACCAGATAAGAAATTACACTCAAAATGTGTAGTTTCTTGTATGTTTGATGGAACAAGTAACTGAATCATGCAGCTAAACACATGAAATTTGAATTATGTATAGCATGTCAACTAATATAATAAACATCAACTACATAAAATATCCACTAGTTTCATCATGAAGGCACTTTTATTTAAAAGCAAAGCAGCATTGAACATAAGATACTGGGCCAGGTCCTTATTAGTGACTGTTCATTCTGTATGTGTAAAGGAATCAAAAGTCATCTGAACCTGATGAAAGCCTGAGAAAAATGAAAATAAGAAAGAAAGTACACCTCACCATGCCTTCTGCCATCCAGGGTGGATAGCAAAATGAAAACAGGTTGTTGCTGCAAACAGATTCTCAATTACTACAGTTACTTTAGGATGTATAAACCCAATTATATCAGTTACAGCTAGACTACTTACAAAATTCAAGAGGTGTATAGCTAGAGAGGTAATTTATTGGCAAAATACCGAGCAAACAATGTTCATAACTGCTTGAAAGCTTAGTGCAGTTTTTGGACACTGTTCATCACATAAGTTAAGCAAATGTGATTACAATAGAACATCTATGCAAATATAATACAGGCATCTATTTAAATATTTAATTTTCTAGCTACTGAAATTGCCCACATTCAGTGGATTTTTTTTCCATTCTTTGAAACTGGTCATTTGTTGTCTGGCACTCTTAAATCAGTGCTGATTCTTGCTCCTGCTGGAATTCTACATATATAGCCCTGGTGAAATTATAGATCCAACATACAAAAGCCTTTAGGTAAAGGGTTTTTTTTTTTCCCCTTAATAAAAAAGCCCCTCTTAGAATAGTTTTGTTATCTCACTTCCTTATTAGCATCAAATTCATCCTCCTCATCCTCCTCTTCAGAATCTTCATCTTCCTCCTCTTCCTCTTCTTCATCTTTTTTTAGCATTCTGCGGGAAATCTGATGAAACAAAAACCCAACAAAAGGATATCATCTGTTTGTTTTCTGCAAACAAAAAATAATTCTCCGTTGGCATTTTCAGCCTAAAGGTTTGTGGGTTTTCATCTGGGGGAGGGGGTAAGTTGTTTATTTATTAACTCTTCGTAGCATGCACACCAATGGAAAAATACATGACACACAATAAAAATACTATAATGATTTTTAGAAGCTAAAAAAATCCATGTAGTCCTTCGGAGCTATTACAGGATAGGGAAAATGGTATTTTTTACCAAATTGATTTTTAGCATCAACAAGCTGCAAATCAGTTTTTTCCAGGGTTGGCTGCTGAAGCAGCAGGCTGAAGAGGCGTATTAGGGCCTAATATTACCTTGAAGACATCAGACCTTGTTAGTTAAAAGCTCAAAATGATGCTGCTCTAAGCTTTTTACTTTTTTTTTTCAAGAATGAATTAGCAAACTTAGGAGTCTTGATTCCTAGATGAACTTCCTTCCCTGCCCATAAGTACTTGCCTTTAGAGTGACTCCTCTTTTTGATTCATCAAACATTAAAAACAAGTGCCAGCTGCCAAGCTTTCATCCCATTTGACAGATGCTGCAGTCTGTACTTTTTTTTAATGAGGGCTCAATCTAATTCCTATTGAAGAGGTTCTTCACAGACAATGCAACATTTACAATTTAAAGGATACATTTTTTTTTTCCTTTCCCCATAAGAAAGAGAACATTGAAGACAGTTATCCAAGTCATCTGGAATGCTTTTGAAAAATTTCAGGTTCAGTAGTTTTCTAAGGGCATCTGCAGCTCTAATTTTGGTTGTATTTTCTGTGTCTTCTCACATACAGTGATATAATAAAAACTTCTTACTGAAGACAGAGCTTGCCTTCTTTTTTAAGCAGCCCCC